ACATATATAACAATTTTGGGTTATCCAGTTATCACCCACTTCAAGACACACCCAAGCCCGAGGTAAGTTGGCTCGAACTCATTTTACGAATGTTCCAGTCCTAGTTGTTTACGAATAGATACATCTAACGCGCCCAAAAAACACATAGAGAACAGTTGGAAAAGATGATGGGGAAAACATGATCTATGCATATCCATACCATCCTGGAAATACTGTTCTATCCTTTCTGCTGGGGTTACTCTACTCTTAATGCAGCTGGAATGGCACCCATTTGTCCATCGGGATTGGGGGATGAACGTTCTTGACGGGTGAACTATGGAGGATAAGCTGCTGCAACTCCAGGCAAAAAAAAAACTCGGGTCGGCTCAAGATCATTTACTTCAAAAAATGGGGAAACTTTACTCATCTTTACCCCCCCAAAAGAAAAAAAGAACCAAAAGTAACATGAACTCTGGGTCCACAGTCAGACCCATATTGCTCATGGCCCAATGTCGCCTTCCTGGCGCGGAACGTAGTGCTCCGCATGCACAGGACCTCGACGCTTTGGCCGTTGGCAATGGATGAGGTCGCCAAATCACACAGATGTTCTTGTGAACACAGCAATGCCAAAAACATCCAAAAAGATCCAAAAAGCAAAGAACCAATTGTGGTGGATCAACCCAAACATCAACAAAAAAAACATCAACCCAAACATCAACCCAAACATCAACCGCGGTTGCTGTTATTTTCCAATATCGACCACTTGTGGATCATCTACAGGTCCACCAAACCCGCGCGAAAGCGCCGCCTGGGCGGCCCGACTATCCGCATCGTGTCCCGGGTGCAGATGACCCTGGCGATGGAGCCATGGTAATCTCAGGAAGTGGTTTGCATCGGAACCAAGGGTGTTTACCATGGAGTATGCGTCTTTATAAGATAATATAAGATTAAGATATGTATATATATATTATATATATATAGTAGCATATATATATATTCCCTATGGATTAATACGGGGGTTTTCCATGGTTTTCCTGTAGTTTCCCTATAAACCAAGTCAGGGATACTGTACCTGGGGTATTGACCAAGGTCTACCTTTTCTTTAAATGCTGGATTACTTGTTTTAACCTTGACCCTTGTTTAACCTTGGATTGCTTTTTGTCTAAACCGCGTGCCATTTTTTCCAACCGATTCTAACCTTGTGTTTTCTTGCTCCGATCTTGGCCCCTACCTTTTTAAACCGTGTCCATGTCCAAAGCAGGAATATGGTGCAGGGCTAGAAAAGAGAATCCAAGGTAGAACCGGCACAAATCCTGTTGTTTGCTTCAAACAAGTTTCCACGTGTCCACACATGGATCTCTACCTGAAACTTGTGTGGCATGCCCACAAAATTTCCGCGTAATTAAAGAATAAAGGCAGAAAAAAGGTAACATTCTGGTACATTCCGTAGGATTAGGTCGTATTAGGTAGCAGTAGGTATCAGGATGTAGTAGAGGGTGGGCTTAGGAAGCAGAAGGTAGCACAGGGTAGCAAATGGAAAGTCCGCCATTTAGGTTGACGAGGTTCCCCTTGAACCTCTTGAACCTAGATGATTTATGATGATTTCACAGCCAGCAAAAGATAGCAAAAGTAAACAGTAGATTATCATACATCCCCACTTTTGTTTGCGAAATTCCCCGTGTTTGTTGGCTGAATGTAACTTGAGTCCCACTTTTTTCAGGGGACGAAATCCAGTTTTTCATCCAAGGACTTGGTTGTTGCACGTCCTTTGGAGCCATGTTAGCGGCTATGGGAGATTCTTGGTTCAGACCCTATGGTTCATTATAAATTGATAAAAATTGTACATAGCTAATTAAATCATGGTAAATCCAACATCCCAGATATGCTCTCGGTATTTCCCATTGCTTCTAGTTCCATTACCAGAGGGTATCCCCAGTCGCATTCCCCGTGGCCTCTAAGCTTTTGCCTGGCATTGATTGATTTTAAGGTGAGTCTTTGGTGATTTTTTGCCAACCACAACAGGGGATGCAACCGAGAAAAAGGTGAAAAGGTTGAACCGCGACTGGGAAATCATCGCAGCCATCACCTGTAGCAATTCCATCCTCATTTTGGGCACTTTAAAACCACCAAAACTCATGGTGAAAAACCATGTTAAACCACCAAAATGGTTGGCAACCTCCGGTTAGAATCCGTTCGAAACGTTGGGAGTTGGAGGCCTTGAAATTCATGGTTGGGAAACATCCAAATGGCGTTCTTGGAGCTCCCATCATCCCAAAAATGGTGTAGAAAACACAAAAAAAAATATGTGCAAGCACCAAGCAGATTCTGACTATCATGGTAAAACTCTGGAAATGCTTATCATCATCATATATCCCATTAGTCCTTAGATACTCATCGCAATTCGCTTTTGGGGACCCCTGTGCTCACCATCGCCTCCACCCGCCCGCGGCAAGGAAGCGTTGGGACCCAGCGAGCCGGAGCCCGATGCCTGCGGTGCTTTCCGATTTTTTTTCCGGTGCCAGCAATTGGATTTTTTTTGAAGCAACGATAGTGGGGTATAACTCCAAGAATAATGGTGTATAAGACAATCTATGACAATCTGCGATGAAAAATTACTATTCTTACCCCAGTAATCAAACATGGTTTGCCGGAAAATCCCACATTTATAGATGATTTTCCGAGATATAAACCTCCATTTATAGAGACTTTGCCAGCCAGCCATCGTGAGAAACGGCACCCGCCCAATGCACCCAATGTGGGATAGGACAGCAATGGTTCAACCACCGAGCAGTTGATGAAACACATCGCCCTGGATTCCTGGATATCCTGCTAAAAATATATATGTTATATTGAATATATTGTTTTATTAGTATTATTGATATATGTCTTAGTTGGTTGTGTAAAGGTTAGTACCGAACTATGCATTGGTTTCCAATGATTCCTCCATTGGCAAAGCAGCAAAGCACCTGCCCTAGCGACCACACGAGCAGCAGCCGAAGCTTCATGGCCACCAAGGACACAAATCATTGAGGTTCAACGGTTGGATCTGTGGTTACTGGAGATTTTATATCAATAATGTGGGTAAAACAATGTCATAACCCACAAAAATCACTGGGAATGGTGAAAAAGTAAAAAAAAAAAAAACACATGGTGATGACTTTCTTATCACTGGGATGGTTAATTTATATTAATTTATGACATTCTTCTACCCACATCAGGGATCAACACCATGCCGAATCAGCCACGGATCATCATGGTGGAATCACTGCCAGAAAAGTGAAATGCTGTGGGGACAACAACTCCCCGAGAAAAACACTCCCGCATCACATTGAAGAACTGGCCAGGATATATATATATATATTATATTATTTATATATATACGTATGTATATTGCATATATTATGTATATGATATATATCGTGGCTACCTTGAGCCAAAAGAGGCATCTCTCAGTGTCGAGTCAAAATCCCCAGTGGAGACGCACCGTGCGACGACGTTGAGGACTTGGTCAAAACGACCATCGAGATGTGGACCATCTGGGGCTCTTCGAATCTCAAAACGGGGCAAGGCTGTCAATAGTTATGTGAAATCTCTGGAGGATATGTATATTATATAAATATATATGTCCTATATGATATGTAATATATATATGTATATAATTATGTATATCCAAAAGTGAAGATCCAAAATGGTGAAAACCCATCATCAAGTACAAAATCTGAACCAACGCTTTCCAAATTGAAGAATAAAACCCAAAAGTGAGGAAAAAAAGTTCTCCAAAACATTTATTTTTTCCGGAATTGAGAATTTTGGCAACCAAGAAAACCTGATTTGCTTGTGCTCCTCCAGATTTTTTAAGAAAGGACACCTGTTACTGGCTGTTAGGCATTGGGTGGCACTCAATATATGATATTATATCATATATTGATATATTGACGTATAAATATACTATTTACTCATTGGTATATTTACTACTGCCAGTAATTTATCTACATATATAATCATATATAAGGAATCATGTATGTACTTACTTATCTGATTGATAAAGCACGTATTTATTCATGTGCTGATTTGTGTACGTTGGGCCGGATACCGGTCATATCAAAGGTACCTTATTCGAAGAGTGGCAGTGTGCCCAGGGGAATTCCATGTGTGAACAGTCCATCTACCCTCTGGTTATGTCAAAATAGCTATTGAAGCCATGGCCATTGATAGTGGATATTAGTGGATTTGCACATTGAAAATGGTGATTTTCCAGTTCGCGAACTGTAAACGTTGACCAGAGGGTAATACGCCGCACCCCAACTTTCCAGGCAGCCTTGGCTGGCGCTTTTGTGACTCTTTTGCAACACGCAACACGTCTGAGTTCTTCTGATGTCTCACCTCAAAGCTAACCCCCAGATCCATGCTGCCCCGCTGCCATGTCTTCCTTTGTTGAATGCGATGCAGATTTGGCACTGGCATCGGTCTATGGTTCCAGCCGGATCTCTCCCCTGACATACCGCGACTGTGGTAGTCGCAACGTGAAAACATCTACTCTTGAGACTGTCCAGTCTGGGAAGATTCTATAAATTGAGGTGTTCCTTTTTTGTCCTGAAGATGTGCTGCAAACTACCTGACCAGGATCTCTGAGTAGGAGTAGATTCTACTCAACGTATCTCTTCTCGCCCATAATGGCGTGAAGAACAGAGCAGGTTCTCCTGCTCCAACCCCAAGCCATGACTGCTTGATGGTTTCACTCCAACTGCAAACTTATCCTATGTACATGTAAAATCATATATATATATACATGATTACATATAATGTGCATATATATATATACATATATATATATATGGGTTTGTCTGAAAATAGGGTACCCCGAAATCACGAAATTCAACATTTGAGTCTTAAAGCCCCATGATTTGCATGGGCATACCCACCATGACTTCAGAAACCCCCAAAAAAGTGTATGTATATATCAATATGATCATATGACAGTCATCAGTCCTTGAAACCAGCAACACCAGTCATCTCAGATCTCACTTCTGCTTCAGCACCTTCTTCAATGCTGGCTTCATGACCATCTTCAAGGCCTTCGAACTGAATGTCTTCGCCTGGGCCCAAAAAAAAAGCTGGGAAATCCCTAGGGAAATCCCAATTGATGGTGGTGTTGATGTGATTTACCATCAATAAATGATCTGGTTGGTGGTTTTAACCATTAACCCATATATGAAATGGAAAATTAAAAAAAATGTTTGAAACCACCAACCAGTGATAGATGTTCTATGATTTTCCCAAACGCCATGTTTGATTGCTGGAGGGTCTTAAAATTTCATGGCATCATCATCGACCTGGGGATACTTCATGGGAAAAACATGTGACATCATTGCAGCCACTGGCAATTTCATTCCACTGGTAGGTCATTTAAGCTGGAAAACTCCAACCTTTTCAAACAGGGATCATCCATGTAAAAACAGGATTTTCCATGAAATAAACCATCCAGCTATGGGGGTACCCCCACTCCAGGTTCGCAGCCAAAAATTGCCATTTGGAGGGTACAGTACCCTCTGGTAAACGTTTACAGGTCGCGAACTGGAAAATCACCATTTTCAATGGGGAAATCCACTATAAATGGCCATTTTCAATAGCTATGTTAGTTTGCCAGAGGGTAGATTTCATTCTCACACCCACATGTTGGCGTTGATTACCAGCCTGAAACCCTACTGACACAGCCCAAGTCAACGCAGTTCAAGCATTTTTACTGGCAGATTCACAACTGCCGACACCGTCTATCCCTTCCATTTCCCACTCCAATGTGCATCATTTACACAGCTAAATTCGGCTAAATCACCCATTCTGAAGCATCAAAAAACCTGGTCAATTTTCGCAAAATCATCATCCCCCATGGCTGGAAACAGGTGATTTCCAGGTGTCCCATCCCGGATCAAAACACGAACCCAGAAACCCACTGAACCAACCAACCCATCTCATCTCAGTGAACCAGGCAGCCATTTCCTGGGGTCCCACCGGAAATAACTGGTAAGTTGTGTTGGTTGAAAAAAAAAAAAGCTGGTGATTCATGTCCTGCCTTCTTCTCCAGGCCCTTAATGTTCCAAGAACGAAGCCTCGCAAATTTCGAAACATGGGATGTCGCCCTTAAGTGGACATACTCCAATTTGTTTTTTCTAAAAACGTACCATAAATCACTGTTTATTGGAATCTCACTGAACATCACCCATGGTAGCTAGAAATAGGCCATATATCACCAATATTCACACCTCTTCAATCCTTAGATGTGTAATGATTTGTACATATTGTATATACACATCTCTAGAGTCATAAATGGACCTCTAAAAAATCGCCACAATCCACATATATCCACATCTTCCATCCCATTCCCACGTCTTTCCACACTCACCTTCATCTACAGCCCAACATGCCGTTCTCACCTTCGCTACCCTACGAGTATATATTCCCATTTCTGGTTGGAGAATGTATCCCATGTCATATCCCATTACATTTCCCCATTTGCCGAACAAATCTATGGATGGAAACATACCCCAACAATAGTTTCCCACGGGGGTTCTGCAGCCCATTTGGGGGTGCAGTTCCAGTTCCAAGTGGATATGTAATCATAATTATAGGGCTTCAACTACAGTCGGTAATACAGTATCCCAACTTGCGGGGGTTTTAAATCCCAGAGTTAACCCATCAATACCTCTGGTGATAGTTGGCTCTACCATCCCTGATTCTATCCTAATAATGTCCCGAGGATATCCTCGGTATGACCTTATTAAAAACCATTCAGAGATGGACATCCCATCTCTAAACCCCCATCATAGCTATTGTCAGTTGGTTATATTCCCATTGGATCCCATTAAGTCACCGTGTTGTCCCCTTGGCAGTGACATATTAACATTGTATTCCACAGTATAATCCCATGATTCTGACGGAAAAAAATCGATGGGAAAATCTATAGAACATCGCTCAACGAAAAAAAAAACTTAGAGGCCATATGGTTTTCTGTGACATTATAGTTTTATACCAGATTCCTATGGAAAAATGGTGATTTTCCATGGTTTTTCCTATGAAAAATGGTGATTTTCCATGGTTTCTTGGCGCTGTGGGGAGATGCCAAGCCGCGTCTTCTTGGAGGACTTGTCAGCTCCCTTGGGCGCCGGATACCCCGCCGGCGCCCGCAGGAACTTGTCCGGCTTCTCGTGGCTGACCGGCACCTGGAACCTGGAAAGCCAAGGGGAGCCATGCAGCAAAGCACATATTTCATATATAGATATATTATATTTATGAAGAACCGAGCCAGCTACACATTGGAAATCTTTAAAATATTTATTTTTTCATTGTTTTATCATTTTGGTTATCATTGCATTCATCATTTTTTTTATCATTTATTTTATCATCTTCATTTTTTTTTTCATTTTTTTATCATTTTGGTTATCATTGCATTCATCATTTTTTTTATCATTTATTTTATCATCTTCATTTTTTTTATAATTGTTTTTTATCATTTTTTTATCATTTTTTTAATCATGTGTTTATCATTTTTTTTATCATTTTTTTATCATTTTTTTAATCATGTTTCATCATTTTTTCTTCCAGTGGTGCAAAAATTTTCCAAGAAATGGAAAATTACAATTTTCCTCGAGTTTTTTTCATTTTTTTTCATTTTTTTATCATGTTATTATCTTTTTTTTTTTCATTTTTTTATCATTTTTGCTTCCAGTGGTGGAATTGATGAAAAATGATAAAAAATGATGAAAAATGATAAAAAAAAATGATAAAAAAAGAAAAAAAAAATGGAAAAAAAACGAGGAAAATTGCAATTTTCCAAAAAATGAAAAATTGCAATTTTCCTCGATTTTTTTTCATTTTTTTTCATTTTTTTTTCATTTTTTTTTCATTTTTCATCATTTTTGCTTCCAGTGGTGCAAAAATTTTCCAAGAAATGGAAAATTACAATTTTCCTCGAGTTTTTTCATTTTTGTTTATCATTTTTTATCATTGTTTAATCATTTTTTATCATTTTTGCTTCCAGTGGTGGAATTGATGAAAAATGATAAAAAGTGATGAATAATGATAAAAAAATGAAAAAAAAATGATAAAAAAAATGAAAAAAAATGAAAAAAAATGAAAAAAAATGAAAAAAAATGAAAAAAATGAAAAAAAAAAAAAAACGAGGAAAATTGCAATTTTCCAAAAAATGAAAAATTGCAATTTTCCTCGAGTTTTTTTCATTTTTTTTCATTTTTTTATCATTTTATTATCTTTTTTTTTTTCATTTTTTTATCATTTTTGCTTCCAGTGGTGGAATTGATGCAAAATGATAAAAAATGATGAAAAATGATTAAAAAAATGAAAAAAATGAAAAAAATGAAAAAAAAAAATGATAAAAAAATGAAAAAAACTCGAGGAAAATTGTAATTTTCCATTTCTTGGAATTTTTTTGCACCACTGGAAGCAAAAACGATGAAAAATGATGAAAAAAAATGATAAAAAAAATGATTTAAAAAAATGATAAAAAAATGATTAAAAAAATGATAAAAAAATGATTAAAAAAATGATTAAAAAAATGAAGATGATAAAATAAATGATTAAAAAAATGATGAATGCAATGATAACCAAAATGATAAAAAAAAATGAAAAAATAAATATTTTGACCTGGCCCAGTCTGTGGCTGCAAGTTTTTCATAATATTATATAGATATTATATAGATATTATTACTGACAAGCAATTTAGTGGTGAGTAAGAATAACAATGTCGTAGATCAGATCTTGGATATCCCTCACCATATCGTGGATTTCGATCGATTCAAATGGAGCTATGACGACATCATGCAATATTCTGGTGGTGGATCTCATAGATATTTGGAGGTGACTAATATTGGTAAAATAGGTATTATAATATGAATATAATATATTATAATAGATATACTAGTATTGCTAATTATAATATATAATATGAATTAGCCACTAATGGTGATTCACATAGGTAAATAGTGGTAAATGATGGTAAACAGATGCAAATAGTGGTCTTGCAGAGTCTGTTCTTGTGAGGGCCATGTGATGAATATTACCAATTAAAATTCCAATTTTCCATGGGAATTGGAATATGGAAATGAATTCATTTTGGTAATATGATTCCCAAATATTCAATTGGAATACCCTCTGGTAAACTAACATAACTATTGAAAATCACAATTTTTAATGGGAAATCTCACTATAAAACATAACCAGAGGGTACCAAATATGGATACATGGCCCTGGCCATTTAAACTTGAAAACCTAAACCATCTCACGGGCTCCGATTTTCGGCGTCTGAGAAATGATGAATTTTGGAGCGGAGATCATCGTTGGATATGAAAAAGCTGGTTGGTGGTTGACCTACCCCTCTGAAAAATATGAGTTCGTCAGTTGGGATTCTTGTTCCCAATATATGGAAAAAACATGTTTGAAACCACCAACCAGTATAGGATATAATGGGAATATCGGATATAGTGTGGCCACAACAAACGGTAAGTGGTTTTTGGTCCTTTCATAAAGTTGGGTTTTAAACACCACCGATTGATATAGCCAACTGGCAGAAACCAAATTTCTGTTCATGGTTAATATGGTAAGGCAAAAATAATGCGTTGCCATGGCAAATAACGTGAAGAATACTGTCAATTGAGATGGTTTTGGATGTGTGAATATTGGTAACTACTGGGAAATATTTGAAAAGATCTGAATATGAGTATATTTGATTGGTAATGGGATTATGATGTTATGATTGAGATGACCAACCAAAACCCTGGTAAAGGCATCCTGAAGTCCCATTCATGAGGGGTGCCTAATATTAGCAGGAAAGGATTACACTTGATAACGATTAAATGACATGGATAATCATGGATAATACTAGTTAACGAACATCATAGCATGGCATAAACTACCATCTGGTTATGACTAACATAGCCATGGAAAATCATCATTTTTAAGAACGGTAAACCATCTATTTCTATGGGCCATCTATACCATGGCTATGTCAGTCATAACCAGAGGCTATCTGATCTATCTGCGCATCCTCCGGTGATGGCTCCAACGACATAACTCCGCTCCTTCCCGCCGAGCCAGAATCCTGAAAATCATTGGAATAATTCATGCCGGAAAGCAAAAACAACAACGTTATAGAATATAATATATATATATATAGATATAGAATTATGTATAGATATATATATATATAATTTTATATATACTTTTGACTAGAACCCCCCAAAGAACATGAAATCATCAACCCCCAGTGCCCATCCCATTGCTCATCCGGGGCGCCCCAAATCCGTCAGCTCGGCTTTCACCTTGCTCTCCGCTTTGGCGTGGCAGCCCACAGTGAAGAAGACGATGGAGAAGCGCTCGCCCTTGAAACTTTTCACCTGGCGATGGGGCCGTTCTTTGGGGCAGTAAAAAGGCCGGAGCCGAACGCAAAAATCCTGGAATGTGAAGAAATCCTGGCACTGGAGAAGGAACAATTGATCCTTGAAAGCGGCAAAACACAAGGGATTTGACCACCGGGACTTACAAATATATGTTTCAAAGGATTGGTTTGATGGAAAATTTACAGGAAATAATCATGATTTCCTGCTATGTTTCCCCCATCATCCAATTTGTACTGCCGGAAAATGCCCGGGCATTTAACGGATCATCTCGACTCGTTTTTCATCATCCCAGGCATATTGTTGAACGTAAACATATCCATGAAACCACCAAGCAAATGTATTTTGTTTACAATAACAAAGGAGAGATCCAACCACCAACTTCTCTGGCTCCGACCATAATAGCCTGCCCTACACCAACTACCCAACACCAGCCCCAAGCCTAAGGAAGCCCTAAAGCAAGCCGAAATAAACCCGAAACAAACCCTAGGCAACCCTTAACCAACATTGATTAACCCTAAACCAACTCCAACAACTCTAACTCGGACCTAAACCAATCCTGAATTAACCCTTTATGAGGCTGGGGGGGTTGGTGCAATTGGGTATCATCATTGTAAGAAGGAATGGAACATCGAAAACATGAATGAAACCGCCACACATGTTGTACTGCCCCAGGCCTCATGCGCCGAGTTCCCATTGAACATCACCTGGGGCAAGCTACAAGGAAAGCTACACCCCACTGAAAGACTTAGTAGGAAGAATCTACACATTGCATATGTATATATAGCATGTGCATGTATATATATCTATATACATACATACATACATGCATGCATGCATTGCATTGCATTGCATTGCATTGCATTGCATTGCATTACATTACATTACATTCCATACATAAAGACATATACATATATATATATATAATCATATATAATCACGTGTATATATATATAACCATATAGATAATCATATAGATAATCATATATATATAATCATATACATATACATATATATATATGTGTATATATACATTCCTCCAGTCAAACAAAATAAAGAGAACTAATTTCGTTGCTCTACGGTCATTCTGCAAGGCTCGTGCTCAAACCTGGCAATGGAGAATCCCCTATAAATGGAGGGTTTAATGGGAATTCCATCTATGAATCGGGGATTTTCCATTGCCATGTTTGATGTGTGATACATGTGTATATATATATCATCATCATCATCATCATAATCATAATCATATATATTACAGCGGTCCGAGACTCACTTAAGCCGACTTTTTTACTCATTATAAGCCGACATTTTGTATGTTGACTTCAGAGTTAACTCCATGGGGTACAGACCTTTAGGTTAACACTTGGGGACACTTGGGGTGGGTTTAGGGGACACTTGGGAACACTTGGGGTGGGTTTAGGGGACACTTGGGGACACTAGGGGTGGGCTTAGGGAACCAACTCCAAGGGATACAGCCCTTTAGGTTAACACTTGGGGACACTTGGGGACACTTGGGGTGGGTTTAGGGGACACTTGGGGACACTTGGGGACACTTGGGGTGGGCTTAGGGAACCAACTCCAAGGGATACAGCCCTTTTGGTTAACACTTGGGGACACTTGGGGTGGGTTTAGGGGACACTTGGGGACACTTGGGGTGGGCTTAGGGAACCAACTCCAAGGGATACGGACACTTGGGGTGGGTTTAGGGGACACTTGGGGGACACTTGGGGACACTTGGGGTGGGTTTAGGGGACACTTGGGGACACTTGGGGTAGGCCTAGGGAACCAACTCCAAGGGATACAGCCCTTTAGCTCAACACTTGCGGACGCTCAGGGGACACTTGGGGACACTTGGGGTGGGTTTAGGGGACACTTGGGGACACTTGGGGTGGGCATAGGGGACACTTGTTCCTGATACGTTGTAGCATCCTCTTCGAGTGACTTGCAACACGTTCCTGCTGCATTGTGACATCTTCTGCGCGGCCCTTCCGCCATGTTCCATGCATGACGTTGTCACATCTTCTTCAAGTCCCTTGAATGATGTTCTTGCTATTTTGCAAACATCTTCGTCAAGTAGCTTGCAATACATTCCTGATACGTTGCAACATCTTCCTACTTTTAAGTAAATTGAACGACCTTCCTGATACATGTGTCACCTCGTCTTACAGTAACTTGCCAGATGTTCCTGATACGTTGTAGCATCTTCTTCAAATGACTTGCAACCCCTTCCTGATGCATTGTGACATCTTCTGCGCGACACTTCCGACATGTTCCATGCATGACGTTGTCACATCTTCTTCAAGTCCCTTGAATGATGTTCCTGGTTTTTTGCAACATCTTCGTCAAGTAGCTTGCAATACATTCCTGATACGTTGCAACATCTTCCTACTTGTAAGTAAATTGCACGACCTTCCTGATACGTTGTCACCTCGTCTTACAGTAACTTGCCAGATGTTACTGATACGTTGAAGCAACTTCTTCAAGTGAGTTCAAACATGTTCCTGATACATTGCGACATATTCCTGATACGTTGAAACATCTTCTGCAAAGTGACATGCAATTCATATGATCGAATCAAAATGTCCTGCTCATCATCTCTGTCGGACCTGTTGCAGTCATATTGAAAGACTTCTATGTCACTTTCTATTGGTGCTGCCATCATATTTCACAAACGTAGGCGTAAGCGAGTAAAAACGTAGGCTTAAGCGAGGTACTGACCTATTACATATATATATATACATACACATATCCTCCAAATATTTAACATAACTATTGACAGAGGCCCGTTTTTAGATTCGAATTACCTACTAAAACGGGCGATTTTCCGCAGCTATGTTAAATGACCAAAGGACATACTGTAGACACCACTAAGAGAAAACACTGATAGATTCTACTTACTTTGTGGGAAGGTGCCCATCATAGACATGTGCAGTGCATGTATAATGTACTCACCAATCAAACCAACCCCAATTTCTGTTAGATTGGTCAAAATCGAATTTTAACCTCAACATATTGGGCTACATTTGCGGGATCCATACAAAGATCATTCATCCAGATTGATATACACATGATTACTGGATGATATCCCCACTACAGTATATCACCATAATTGGTAAATATCGCGCTCAATTCACTCAATATTCCATTAATATCCCATTTTTGTTAGTCAATATCTCATTCAGATCCTTTCATTGTTGCTAACCACCAATATTCCCAATGTTGTTACTTGATATCCCCATCATATCACCATAACATGGTGGTGGACGTCCAAAAAAAAACAATCTGTTCACCAGACCAAATTTGTCCTAATGATCCCCATTATCCCTCTGACATTCCCCATATATCCCGAGTTGTTTTCTTGATTACGCTTTTTTTGATGTGCCTATCCCATTAAATATATTCATCAATATCCGAGTTAATATCTTACTGAAGTTTCAATAATATCCCCTGAATATCCTATTAAGTGTTGATTCCCCATAGTTTTCCTCGTAGTTTTCCCCGTTGTTTTCCCGTATTTTCCTCCATGATTGTTAGTGAATATCTCATTAAGATCCTTTCATTGTTGCTAAGCACTCATATTCCCAATATTTCCCAATATTCTTACTTTTCATGTCCCCATCATCTCACCATAACATGGTCAGTTCGTCAGTTCATGTCCATTTTCCAAACCATTCATCTTCTATCAATAAATTCCTACAACTAGTTAATCATTATCTACTATAGTTCATCATTTTACTTTATTAACATTACCATGAAACCTTGTTTCGGCCCGCGGCCAGCAGTACCATCTCCCATGACGTCGCGGCACCAGGTTCTCCTGGATGTCAAGTTCCACCTGCTTCGCAGATGGCAGCTGCGTCAGTCCGTTGGACTTGTTGTCCTCTGGCCACACCGCCAAGCCTGGCGCTGGGCGAAGAGGATCCACCATAGGAAACCAGGGCAACCACCATCCCCAAGAGGATCCACCATAGGTAACCATGGCACATGGCTGGTTTATGGGCTTTGCCAACATTAGTATATCAACTTTAAACTATGAGTAATCTTAGTATCCCATATTAGAAAAGAAAAAATACGTGATGTTGGTCTTCTCTAATCTTCGCCGTCCATATCTTCAAGCTTCGAAAAAGCTTGACGGATGGTCGCATGATGGGTTTTGTCCTGAAGGAAATGGCGATTGCTATTGAAAATGACCATTTATAGTGGATTTTCCCCTTGAAAATGGTGATTTTCCATAGTTCTGTTAGTTTACCAGAGGGTAATCAACCGGATGGATTTTCTGTTGTCAACAAGAAGTTGGCTGTTTGAACCAGTTCTAAGCAACAAAGATGTGGTTAGACGGCAGGCATTTTGTTCATAAACTTTGGGTGACAATCAACAGGAACACCAAGTCGGCACAGGAACTGGAAGGTGCGATCACAATATCATCTTCTATCAAAATATGTTAACCTGAGCTGCCCGAACGAATATCTCAAGTGAATCAAATGTAAGGACGAGAACCATTTTGAACACGATATCACTCATTTTGGAATGGAAGGGTCCAACTTTGATGTTCATGATTTTGGAACACACATATTTTGAAACACATCCACCGTACTATATCCATCATTTCAGAACACATCTGCCCTCTGTCAACACGGTTCCTTTTGTCTCCACTCGAAAATCTTACGCCATTGAGTTTCGACGGAAGCAGCCACCCTGGAAAAGAGGACCCCCCCAAAGTAATCATCCTGCGTGGTAGCCGCAGCTGATGGATCATGAACAACCCATCTAGAAATTCGTTCATAGATCGCGGCCGGTGAAGTATATATATATAATTCATAATTCTCAACTCTAAGTAGTTCAAAGATGAATCATAGGTCACTAAAAAAGGTGGTTTTATAATCTGGTTGGTGGTATACCTACCCCTTTATCCTATATATTATCGGAAAATAAAAAGCCATGTTTGAAACCAGCAACCAGATATATTCTCCCATGATTAACCATGATTAACCATGATTAACCATCATGGTTTTTCACCCGGTAATGTTTGAAACCACCAACCAGTAATGGGAGTATCGTCGAACAAAAAATTACCTCACGGAAGACGAACCGGAACCGGAACCGACGCTGGGAGGTGATCTTCACGTTATTCACAGTGAATAGTGATTGATAAGGAGGAATGATTCATAGTGATTCATAGTGATTCATAGTGATATGTTTTATAATTTCCAACTTTTTCACCGATCAAGTCCTATTCTTGCTGATCAAATCCCCATGTAGAAGCCGGAGAAGCGAAGTCACCATCTCTGGCGGTTAAATCGCCACTGGTATTGGTTAAACTAACATAGCTATCGAAAGTATTCACAAACTGTGACTTTGCCAGAGGGGAATGTTATCCCCCTCTGGTAATCACCATTCATCCCTATAATTGTTACAGTAGCTATTTATAGCTATTTCATGTTCATTCATCACTATGAAGCACTATTAATCACCGTTGAATCACTCTTAATCACTACTAACCACCATTGAATCACTATTGAACCAGTTCACCATTGAATCACTACTAAATCCCCCATCTCCCCCGTATTTTCCCAACCCAAAGCCCGCCTCCTCCTGTGAAGTCGCCCGTAGCCGCAATCAGGCTGGCGCCAAAGTTGTTCCTCAGCAACGGTGACACGAAAAGCTGTGGAAAATCCATGGAAAATCAATGGATGTATAGTGAGATATGGCAGTGTGTCAAAACCTTGTACCCCTGGTGAACATCAAAATAGCTGGTAAATGGATGTTCATCCCATTAAAAATGGTATTAATAGGTATTGATCCATACCCATATATTGTGATTAATAGAGGATTAATTAATTAATAGTGATTGATAGTGATTAATAGTGATTAATAGAGGATTAATGGCGACTAATAGTGATTTTTTGGTGATGTTCAATAGCAAACTGATGATTTTCAATGGTGATAGAGGAAAAGAAACACTTTTGCCATTGAAACTATGGCCATGTATGGATGAATGACCTATAAAAATGGTGATGTTCAAGAGCAAACTGTTATGTAGATCTGTTAGTTTACTGGAGGGTACCCATAGATACATCCATGGATGGCTTCTAAAAAAACACAAATCCTGGTGTGTTCAGTGGCTTTTCTTTAAAAAACATGTGGTGAATTACCCATGAATTCCTGCGCTTTCCAAGGTCTTGGGCTTGAAAAAGCGATCAAATGTTTGGAATTGATTTTCGATATTGTGTCTACGTATATAATATATATATATACCTATATTATTATTATTATCATTATTAGCATCATTATTATTATTTTTATTATTATTAGTATCATTATTATTATTAATTCTTATTTTTCATTATTATTATTAATGATTATTGTTATTTATTATTATTAATGATTATTAAGTATTATTATTCTTACTATTATTATTACTAGAGATTATTATTATTGTTATTATTATTACTATTATTATTGTTATTCTTATTATTATTGTTATTATTATTGTTGTTATTATTATTATATATTATTATATATTATTATATATGCATATATCATACATATACACCTGAAACGTGATGTTCACTTTCTTCTTGAATTATGATGTGTGTGTCTTTTTTCGCGAACTTCCCCATCCATAAAACGACCCACCCCTTGTGGCCGTTAAGGCTCTGGTCGCGGTGGCGTTTCGCGGCGTAGTTGCAGTTCAAGTTGATGCTGGTCCAGGGGAAGTCCTTCACCTCCGCCTCAGCGATGCCAGCGATGCAAAAACGTCGTGCAAAGATGTGTCAAGCGATATGATGGGGATATGCATGGGTCATCATGATTAATAGTGATTAATGGTGATTAATGATGGTTAATGATGGTTAATGATGGTTAATAATCTGATTGGTGGTTGACCTACCCCTCTGAAAAATATATGAGTTCGTCAATTGGGACCATTATTCCCAACTGAATGGAAAAATACAGTAAAAGCCATGTTCCAAACCACCAAACAGATAATAAAACTAACAATAATGAAATGATCAAATATGATCAATCATGGAGATATCATGAAAATATTACTGGGGATATGCAACCGGTTGAATGGGGACACCAATTTTATTTTGGTGCCATGGGACTCCCTTTCTGAATCCCGGTCAAGTTCCCCCCCACGAACTGGGCTTCATATGCTTTGTGAATGCGAAAGTATGGCTTCGTTTAAGTGAATGTTAAGTCAGTTCTTCGTATAGTATTTAGTATACTATTTAATAGTCATTAATAGTATAGTTCATAGTCACCCCATTTAACGGTCACCCCAAAATATGGATGTATAGTTCATAGTCACCATGAATAGTATTTAATAACTATAGATGTTTTCATAGCGTTTTTCATAGTCACCCCAAACAAAAATGCCGAAAGCCGCGGTTCCCAGAATTTCTCCGGAACGACGTCTTCCCCATCTCGTCCAGGTCTCCAACGTTTGAACCCCACGTTCTCTGCCCATGAAATATGGCCTTTTTGGAACATGATTTTCATTTTCTTCGATGTTCCCAACCTTTTCCCCTATGGAAACCATTGAAATCTCCATGTTCTTCGATGTTCCCAACCTTTCCCCCTATGGAAACCATTGAAATCTCCAAAATTTCGATGATTTTCCCAACATTTTCCATGGTTTTTCCACAGATTTCCCATCTTTTCCCATCATCACTTGGCTTCGCCAAAGCTCTGGCAAGATCCCATGCAACCATCCGTTCAGCACCTGGACCACCGCTGGGTATCGCTTGGCCGGGCCCGTCACCTCGGTTCGTTAAACGAACCGAACAGACCCGACCCGACGAAGTCGGAGTCCCGGAGGCCTCCGAAAAATGCCACTGGGTAAAATATGGTAAAATATGGTGATTTTATCCACAGAAATGGAGGGTTCATAGCTGGGATGTGGGTAATATCTGGTAAAATGGTGAAAAAACCAACAGAAATGGAGGTAAAAAAAGGTAAATGTGGTGATATCTGGTGATATCTGGTGATGGCCTGTGTCAACACCCATTGTGACCATATGAAAAGAATCTCAATCCCAGCGATTTCCCAAGGCACCGTTCCGTTGGTGTTTTCGGGTTTTTTTCCACAGAAAATCGCCACAGAAAAACCATGGAAATTGACAGGTTGAATTGGGTTTACCTGGAAATGATCAACAAAAACCACTGGAGGATCACCCACCTTCACCCACCTTGTCCCTGATTCTCCCCCCAGCGAATTTCCTCCAAAATTATGGGGGCACCGGCCCGCATGGATCATCCAGTGTTCCGCCAGCGGCCAACTTCAGGTACTCCTCTTTAAAAATGTTGACATATCTAAAAATGAATATATATATAATATAAGATATAATATAATATATAATATAATATATAATATAATATATAATATAATATATAATATAATATATAATATAATATATAATATAAAATATAATATAATATATAATATAATATATAATATAATATATAATATAATATATAATATAATATATAATATAATATATACTATATATATATAGTATGTTGTAAATATGTGTGTCTGTGTGTAAATTACATTGTATGAATATATGCATACACATTCTCCTCGATTCTCCTGCTAAAGGAAAATCACTCACCAAACATTCACATTGCTGTCTGTCGTGGTAAGATTTGGGTTTCTCTGAAGATAGTCCACTGGTAAATCATAATGTCCATAAAAATAACAAGTCCTCATTTTAGGGATATACCTCATTGTGAGACACCTCCAAATATCTAATAGCGTTTCTTTTAAAACCCAGCCAAATATCCGCATGGTTTATATCCAAGGGTTGTTGTAAATACATCCCATTGCAGTCCCATGATATCCCCAATGGGTGCGAATAGTATCCCCATGTTCGTTTTTCAAAAAATCTCCCCATTTTTTCTTCCCATCACGGCACGTGGATGTCACCAACGCGATCTCGCAAGAGCCCCAAGGTGTCCGACCACACCCAGTCCTTGCCTCGGTGGTGAGTGGAATGGGATGATACCAGTCTGATACGAACCAGGCACGTGCTGGAGGGTTTGCCAGTTTCTACAACCATTGATGGAATTATTGAGGAACCAGTTATGGCTGGAACAATGGGTATAGTATGTTGCCAGTTATGGTAGGAACCATTGATGGTGCTTGCAAGTGCTTGTGATTCTAGTTTTTGTTGAGTGAGCACTGTTTTTTTTGTGGAAAATTCACCCCAAATTAGCAGCAACAACACAGGTGTTTATTCATGAAAGTCCCACTTTACTGTTGATTGCATGTTTTTAAATTCACTCTATATATTCACTATGTTTTTCTTGCACAAAAAGTATTTAAAAAAGAACAGTGTTCAAACCTGTTTTGTTGATTGAAAATCATCATCATTATCCCCATCGTCCTATAAGTTGGGATATAATTCCTATAACTATGATTAATATTCATCATGTTGGGTTTAACATATGTCTATAACCATGGTAAATATCATCCATCATTTATGGATTCTCCACCATTTATCCACCATGAAATCATCAACTGTCCCCAGTCAGTCATAAAAAACCCGTCGATGTTTCCATGCCCCGATGTTGAGCCACCGAATTTGTGTCCATTTTTTGACTGGAGACCGTTGATGATTTCATGGTGGATAAATGGTGGATAAATGGTGGAGAATCCATAAATGATGGATAATTCCACCATTTACCCAACCATCAAAAATTCTCAAAAATTTCCCAGAATTCCACCTTCATTCAGCATTTACCCAACCATTGACCCACCAAGTGTCCATCGGGCATGACATTCAGGCGTCCAAAGTTCCGTCCAAAGGCCCAGGCCTTCAGGACCTTCAACACCTGACACGACGACGAAAAAACGACGCGGGAAGTGGTTGGAATGATGGTTATAATATATATATATATAGTAGATATCATATACCATATATTTCCATATATTACCATTGATTACCATATATTACCATTGATTATAATGGAAATATTCATTACGGTAATATATAACCATCATACCATATTATTATATGTTAATGATATTATTACATGAATATCATGGATGATGTAATAATCTATGTAATATATGGTAATAATCTATTATCATTACAGTTATATATGCAATATATGGTAATATATAGTAATATATGGTAATGTATGGTAATATATGGCAATGCATGGTAATATATGGTAATATATGGTAATATATGGTAATATATGGTAATATATGGTAATATTTAATATATGGTAATATATGGTAATATATGGTAATATATGGTAATATATGGTAATATATGGTAATATATGGTAATATATGGTAATATATGGTAATATATGGTAATATATGGTATATGATATCTATTATATATAATTATATATTATATATGGTAATAATGATATTATGAGACCATGATACTAATATAAAGGATATGTTTTAATATGAGGGGGAGTTAGCAATAACAGTTATTCTATGCCTTAGGATGGTTTAATGTGAAATACAGGAAGTAAGTATACAAATTGAAATATGCGTTGGCGGATATATTTGCAGCCTTTCAACCTGTGCCTATTCCTTCCCTTGTTGAATCTGGTGTCCTTCCGTCTTCTCATGCTTCAGGAGTCATGACTGCACAAAGGAAACAATTTTTGCAGCTGTACAAAACCAATGTAGTTTTGCCGATACTTCAGGCTCACGACGATGCAGAGTATGATGAAGCTGCAAGCAAGTGGCTTTACGCTTTTCAGTGTAGCGTCAGGGATTTCTGCCCCAACAGGCTTGTACACGGTTGGAATGTTTTAGAAGTTTCATTTGGCCATGAAGAGTGGGAGTTCATTAAGCTGACTGGGCGATGGCCTCTTTGGAACTTTCCTGATCTGGTGGGTACGGAGATTCTGACTAGCTGCCCATTGTGTGGCACATGCAATGCTTCGGTTACCCATGTTCTCAAAGCTTGTCGGGGTACTTTGCAATTGTTTTTACGATCTGGGCTTGTGGATTTCGCATCAAGACCTGTACCTACACCCACATTCCTAATGTGTCATTCCTCGGCTGGGGTCCAAGTGGAAACAGCCCGTATCCGCTATGTGGGCTTGGTGGTGCGACGTGTAGCTTTGGCACTGCGTGAATAAAAAATGCGTGGCAATGATCTGCCAATTCCAATTGGAGGTAGCGCGCCACCCATTCCCTCATCCATCTCACCAGGGGCTGGTAGGTGGTTGGGGTTTACACATGAGCAATGAGCAATGAGCAATGTCTGAACACCTGGTATACTCAACTTGTTTTGAGGCCATCTGCCACAAGGGAAAATGATGATTTTTCAGACAATCCTACATATGTTTTACACAAGTCTTAGAGCGACTCAGAATGGCTGGGTACTATATCGAGTTCAGCAACAAATCGAATGACAATCATCTCGTGGACTCAAGACACGTGAACATGAGATTTTGCCAGGAACAGAATTCAACACAGAAAATTGACCCGGAAACCTCGAAAAGAATCCTAAAACACATGATGTTCAAGACATGTATTCATTATTTTGTATTCATGTATCTCGCCACTTTCCATTCAATGATTCTTTTACGAAAGGTCTCAATGCAACACGATACAACGCGGGAATACGCGGTATACGCCATGCGACAAACCCCTTTTTGCGTGAGCGTGTTCAATATCCCCCAGGTGCGAACTCATTTGGTGCATGGGATAGGGTTTATTCATGTTTGTTCTTTGCTTATGCCACAATATAATATGTTTTTTTGCGCTTCAAAACGCGGGAGCAACTACCGTGCTTTGGGAATCATCATCCCACTGCTCCGCATCATCAACCACCACCACCACCATCATCATCATCATCATCGTCATCATCCTCGTCGTCGTCGTCCTCATCATCATCATCATCATCGTCGTTGTCGTCGTCGTCCTCGTCCTCGTCCTCATCATCATCATCATCATCATCATCATCATAATCATCCATCATCCATCATCCATCATCCATCATCATCACCATCATCAGCAGCATCATCATCATCATCATCATCCATCATCCATCATCCATCATCCATCATCCATCATCATCATCATCATCATCGTCATCGTCATCGTCACCATCGTCATCACCACCACCACCACCATCATCATCATCATCATCATCCATCATCCATCATCCATCATCATCATCATCATTATCATCACCATCATCATCGCCATCATCATCATCATCATCATCATCATCATCATCATCATCATCATCATCATCATCATCATCATCATCCATCATCCATCATCCATCATCCATCATCCATCTATTTAGCGGACTTCATTTCAAAAGAGTCCTTCGAAAAAAACAAAAAACTGATATGTCACTTCACAGAATTCACAGACTCCATATTTTACCATCTCAGGACCACCTCACCTCAAATTCCCACCAGTTTTTGAATCACCTGTGGGATTCACCTGCCACAAACCATCCCCATTCCATCCATCATCATATGGCACTGTATGGCATTTCAGCCATTCCCACGTTCATGCTGGACTCATCCCCTTGAATCCGAAAAAAATCAAGCCCATTGTGGTTTTCAAAGCAACTGGTGCAGTTAAGGGATTCAACGTTGTGATTTTTTTCGTTCTAGCGTTATATATAACTGGTGTATGCCTATCCCATCTAAAATGATACACCAGGTACACCAGTTGCTTTTTCTAGCTCCAGTGCCATGGTGCCATGGTTTATCACCCCAACTTTTCTGCAGAGAACGTCAACCGGGCCAGCTCTGCACCTGCTGCTGGCTGATGGCCTTTTTGCTCTTGTTCGCTTGGTCCAACATCTCCTGTGCGTAGCGGTTCGAAAGCCTCGGTTGGGCGATTCGATGGATTCGATGTTGGATATTGCGATTCGATTCTTCATCTATGTTCATAGATAATATATATATATGCCGGGAACAATAATCATATATCATAGAAAAACATTGTTGGATATTGCTATGATTGTTGGGATAGTGTTTTTTTACTGTCGAAACTATAAATGTAATGGAAAAAAGGATAGGAATAATGATAATGATTATGGAACAATTCTAGCGGAATGTATAGTGTCTACGTAATGTACTGCAATATGTAATCATTAAATCTATGTATTTAGGAAATGTTAGCAAATACTAGGTTGATGTTTGTTGCAACAAATTATGTTGTAAACGAAGAGTTCCAATTTCCCCATCGATGAAGTCCATCGGGGTGTCCAGTGGGATGACATATATAAAGTGTGGTAGAAGCCAGTCTTTTTTAATGAACTTTACATATTGGGGGTTAGCATATCTTTATATATATATATCATACATCAATATAGATCATCAACCACTGCCAGTTCTTCTAAAACTGCTCATGTGGGATGGAATGAGCAGGGATGGGTCAGTTTGCACATTAACGGGTGGCAAACATGGATGTAAAATCCACCGATGAAAATCGTTGTTTTCACAGTGGGATCCAAACAAATGATCCACAAACCCGAAAACTTTTGGGGCCAAAGACAATGGATCCACAACCATTGGAAAACTGTGGAAATGCTGCCCAGAGACAATCGATGTGCGCGCTGCCACATGGTTTCGTTCCACGATGCCTGGTGAAAGGTGCGAGTTGGTCAACATGGAAACTCAGCTCCAGCAAGATATCATGTGATTATTTTATTAGTTTCATTTAGTGTTTCATTTAGTGTTCACATTGTTTTCATCGGTTGATATAACATTTCAATACATTCCTGGTCACAAACTATTTTAATAAATTTCAATACATTATTATTCAATACATTTATATAATACATTCACAATATATCACATTTATAACATTGGAAATTCAGTTGTTTTTATTTATTTTTGCTGGGCACAAAATACGGTCCTTTTTTGACCATTGCGCTGACCAACTGATTTTTGCCAATGACCCAATCCCCACTTGGCTGATGCCATGTCCTAGTTGGTGGGGATTCCCACAATGGATCATGATGATACCCAACCTATGTAGATGTACTATATCGATATAAGTATGTATACACATGTGTATATGTATATATATTATTATATATAATTATACATGTATATATATATGTATAATATGTGTAATAGGTCAGCTGAATGTTCATCTCCTTCAAATATGGTGGTGCGTTCAGATTTATTGGATCCCAGACCATTCGTTCGTCAATATTGTTTTCATGTTCGATAATGTTGGGGTCCAACATTATGTCTATGGTTAATAGTGGTTCATAGTCTACATAGTGATTAATAGTGTTCATTAATAGTGATATTAACATATATTGACCAATCATAGTCCAATGTTGATAGTGCTTATATGATAGTGGTTACAATGCCTGGCAATGCCTGGCACATCCGTAGCGTCCCTTGGATGGATATTTTTAGACTGGGAATGGGATTTCCATACCACCTATATATAAAAATGGTGACTGGGGGATGGTCCCGGGGATGGTGCAAATGGCATTACCCACATGACTTGTTCAAAGCAATAATAATGTTCCATGCGTGTTGTTTTGCTTAGACTTAATCTCAACGTGTTTCAACAAGGCAATTGGCTTTAATCATCTTTAATCACTTTTTCTTTGGAGGGTTTTTGGCTGCAAACACTTTCAAACAACCTTCACTTTCCGGAAAAAACAACAAAAAGAGACGGTTTCTCCGACAAATGCCTCATCCTCCACGCAGAAACTATGTCAGGGTCCTGAGTTCTCAGTACTTTGACTCACCTTGGCAACTGAGACCCCTGGATTTGCGTGGCAGACTTTGGCCAACAACTGCCCATCTGGCAAAATGAGCTGGAGGTTTGCGAGATTCACATTCAAGTCGCGGGCAATCCTTTTGTGGGTCTCCCAGGCTGAGTCAATCCCCTGTGCAGTCAAACGAAAGCGTTCTTCCCCCACCAAAGTCGAGCATGTCAGGGTGATGGCATCATCCTCGCCCACCAACTCTAGTTGTAAGGCTAAGTCTCTGCCATGTGTTCTATCGCTGATATAGCGAATTCCCGGCTCTGGGGGCACGATGTTGCATTTCTCAAAATTAATGTCTCCGATTGCAACAGCACAGCCATCACTTCGGAGCAACACTGTATGATACGCTCCTGCAGCAACCTGGGTGTACGTCATTCCCTCATTCAAAGGCGGGATGTTGCATTGTTCATATGGATTGTCTCCGACGGCAACAGCACAGCCATCACTCCGGATAAGCACTGTATGCTTCCTACCTGCAGAAATCTGGGTATACACCATTCCCTCATCCAAAGGTGGGATGTCGCATTGTCCACATTCATTGTCTCCGATGGCAACAGCACTGCCATCACTCCGAAGAAGCACTGTATGAGTGGCACCAGCCGAAATCTCGGTGTATGCCAGTCCTTCATCCAAAGGTGGGATGTTGCATTGTTCAGCGTTATTGCCTCCGATGGCAAAAGCACTGCCATCACTCCGAAGAAGCACTGTATGATCGTTGCCTGCAGAAATCTGGGTGTATGCAATTCCCTCATCCAAAGGTGGGATGTTGCATTGTCCAGCGTTATCCCAGCGGTAACGGCTTTTGGCTCCGATGGCAACAGCACTGCCATCACTCCGGAGAAGCACTGTATGAATGTTGCCTGCAGAAACGTGGGTGTAGGCCATTCCCTCATCCAAAGGTGGGATGTCGCATTGTCCACCTCTACTATCTCCGATGGCAACAGCACTTCCATCACTGCGCAGAAGCACTGTATGAAAACTGCCTGCAGAAACCTGGGTGTATGCTAGTCCCTCATCCAAGGCTGGGATGTTGCATTGTCCATCTCTACTATCTCCGATGGCAACAGCACTGCCATCACTCCGAAGAAGCACTGTATGATCGTTGCCTGCAGAAACCATTGCTCGAAGCAAGGCCAATTTGATCTAAGATTTGTAACGTGGTTCATGACCCGTGGGCTTTTTACATCATGTCATATCAGGCATATCCATATGATCATTCAGATTCATTTCACAAACATAGGAAACCCATGGGTTCTGATAGATCATGGATTAATCTACCGGTTTCCTGCATGCTTTGAAATACACTCCGAAACGCGTCAGCTTGGAACTGGTCATAACTGGCGGCCAATGGCACACCACTGAAGCCCAGGCGGCCATCCCTGCTTATCTGATTCATGACTTACCCGGAAACATGATAAAAGATATGAAGCATATTGGAAATGTCAACAACCTCACGGCTGCAGTGCCTTTGGAGCTCAGCAAAATCACTGGAATAGATTTATGTCGTGGGAGCCTCGCAGTGTCCCGACTTCAAGACAATTCCGGCAGTTCAGACTTGAAGTTTGGGTCCGGCAACACATGGTCGAGAATGGGAACCTTTCAAAATATGATAAATATAACTTGGAACACGGCCTTTAGAAGGCCGTAGTGTTTTTGTGATCAACGGGGTGTCATGGATGATGTTTGATGTGGTCGTGCCAATAGGATTTTGTTTGATGCGTTTTTAAAGGCGAGAAACCCCTTATTCTGGTGCATAAAATAAAAAACACGCATTTCGCCTAGGCAAAACTATCATTTCTGATGTTTCTCAGAACTCCCCAACTAATTCGACCTGTAATGGTTTGATATGAGTTTAAAGGCCGGAAACCCCTTATTCTGGTGCATGAAATCAAAAAACAAGCATTTCGCCTAGGCGAAACCACTTTTTTTTGTATTTCCACATCTTATGTCATGATGAAATTGGCACAGCCTGCCAGACGACCTTGCAACCGACCTGGATTTCCACATGCAACCTTGTCACGTATAAATATCTAATTCCTATACGTGCACAAGTCCAGAGAACTTACAGGAGCGTAGCATGACGTATCAGTCCAGAGAACTTACAGGAGCGTAGCATGACGTATCAGTGAAAAAGCACGAGAGAACTTACAGGAGCGTAGCATGACGTATCAGTGAAAAGCACCAGAGAACTTACAGGTGCGTAGCATGACGTATCAGTTAAAAGTACCGGAGAACTTACAGGAGCGTAGCATGACGTATCAGTGAAAAGGACCAGAGAACTTACAGGAGCGTAGCATGACGTATCAGTTAAAAGTACCCGAAAACTTACAGGAGCATAGCATGACGTATCAGTGAAAAGCACCAGAGAACTTACAGGAGCGTAGCATGACGTATCAGTTAAAAGTACCGGAGAATTTACAGGAGCGTAGCATGACGTATCAGTTAAAAGTACCGGAAAACTTACAGAGCGTAGCATGACGTATCAGTGAAAAGCACCAGAGAACTTACAGGAGCGTAGCATGACATATCAGTGAAAAGCACCGGAGAACTTACAGGAGCGTAGCATGACGTATCAGTTAAAAGTACCGGAAAACTTACAGGAGCGTAGCATGACGTATCACTGAAAAGCACCAGAGAACTTACAGGAGCGTAGCATGACGTATCAGTTAAAAGTAGCAGAGAACTTACAAGAGCGCAGCATGACGTATCAGTTAAAAGTACCCGAGAACTTACAGGAGCGTAGCATGACGTATCAGTGAAAAGCACCAGAGAACTTACAGGTGCGTAGCATGACGACTCTACTTACCCAGCAAGTTCACATGAACGTTACTACCTGCCCCACCCCACCCCACCCCACCCCACCCATGTCTGCACGCACATACCGGCACACACAGAGACGACTCTACTTACCCAGAAAGTTCACATGAACGTTAATACATGCCCCACCCCACCCCACCCCACCCCAACCCCCCGATGTGCACGAAACACCACGGCCTTCTAAAGGCCGTGCTCCAACTAATTTTAGCAACCAAAAAAAAAAACATGTAATTTAATGACATAAGATCTAAGGGTAATAAACCTGATGTGACTGGTACGAGTAGTACCCTCCAATTGGATCCATTTGGGTATGGTTGACATCACTTTACCCCCCCACCCCGCAAAAAAAATATGTAGGGTTTTACTTTTCAATCAACCCCAGGGTGTAAAGAGTAAAATTCAAAACATAAAGCATGGTGTTTATGTCTAATGTTTTCTTCAAAAATACCTTCTGAAAATCTGACATAGCGAAAATAAATTGAAAGAGGGTGAATTTCTATGTGCAAGCTGTAACAAATGACCAGAGGGTACTCCAATTCTTCATTATTCATCCATCCTTGCAAAATATGTTTTTCATTAACCATGATTAACCATTATTATTAATCATTGGTAACCATTAGGTAATCCAAATATTTCCCATAATGAAAATTCCCATTTATTGGGGATTAACCCCCCCCATTTAATTTGTAACCATAATTAATCATTGTATCAACCATTATATTAATCATTATATGTATTGACCACTATATATATATACACCATTGTCTTAACCATTCTATTTACCAGTATATTAATCGTTAACCTCATTGGTAACCTCTCTAGCAAGCATCAAAAAAGGTGGCCAAAGTGCCCGCCTCCATAAGCAGTTCGTCTTTCTTCAAGCCGCAGCGTTTGCACAACTCTTTCCTGCGCAAAGGATCTGTGAGTTGAACCGACGTGTTCAACGGAGGCCCTGTGACAGGGAAAATGCAAAGGATAGCACAATAGGGATGTTAAAACGGATACAAAAACAGCAGATCTACAATAAATAGTTTCTCATTAAATAAATAAAGATAATCTTAGAGGCATAGAACAACTTGGAATCTTACGGGCACCTATGGAATCCTGGCAAGGGGTTGTAAATGAACTTCAAAGCTCAGGTGCGAAAATATCATAATCTTGGGGATACGTGTTGAAAAGTAGATCATATCTGGGCCTGAAGTATAGGTTCACCAGCTTAAAGTACGGTAGGTTCACCAACTTAGAATATGCCGAGCATATGTGCTGGGCAGTTACGCTTCCTAACCATCGGTACGAATGCTGTAGCGACTTTCCAATTCTCCATGCCATCTGGCGATAAAACCTCGATGTTTCCTCGACGCTTCGCCCTCCATTCTTGCTGGCTGGTTAAGAGTTGGGGTACCACAAAAAAAGTACGAGTACATATATATAATTGTATATATATATATATATATACATTGAGGGTTCAAGCAGCTGTAGACCCAAATCTCCCCCGCAGGCGGTTTCACAAACCTAACCCAAGCCATGCCTTTCTCTACCCCATGCAGGCTGTTACTCCAAATGATAACACGGGCCGGTAAGCTGCACCAAATGCTGATTCTCGCGAATCCATGGTTCGTCATCATCCCAGTCAGTTGATTCATCTATGGTGATCACAATGGGGACCCTGAATAAATAAACCTGATATGAGAATATGTTCGTCTGTGACTGGCCTAAGCGATGAAAGTCTGGGTTTGCCTGAAATAAGGCCCGCTGAGATAGCACAAAGGACATAGAATTGCAATTGTCGAACAGGATAAAGCCGTGAGAATCTCTGTCGTAATGTTGTAACTCAGCGGCCGTGGCACCCTGGACAGTTTGAATGAAAGGAGGCTTCTGGATATACGTAGGCAAAACGAAATGGAGGCATTTTGCCAAGGTGCTTTTGCCAGCGCGCGAAGGCGCCCGGAGCACAAGAAATTTGTACCGAGAATCTAAAATGGAATACTGTTTGGCCCAGTCTTCGACTCGGGCAACCACTTGTGGCAAAAATGGCTTTTGCAATGGCTGGAGCTGAGCCACCACTTCGGCCTGCTCACGTCGGAGGCGACTTTCGCTCTCCTGCTGCATGACTGCTTCCACAGCGCGTTTGCGGGTGATATAGCCCAAGCGCACCTGCAACCTGCTGCACACGGTGTTGACACTTTTATAGTGATAATTCTGGAGACATTGGCCCTCTTTCTGAAAATGCATCTATAGAATCAGAGACCCCAAGGTATTTTCAAGTTGACAATCTCTTTAGAATCGCTGCCCCCAAGTCACTCTCGTAGAGCCGTTTTTGGTTGGGGGGGTTAGTTGGCCTTCTATAAAATCAGGCTCCCCAAGTGTCATTCATTGACAGCTGACCTGAATGCTCCAGTTGCTCTTGCCTACCTTACCTTATGCATTCCCAATTTTATAGAGCTCAAAGGCTACAAGTGTTCACTGTCAACCTCTTCGATTATATACAAGGATGATCAATGATGATGAAAGAATTGTTGTGGGAAATTGGTTCTGCCAATACTTCTCTATAGAATTGAAGAACATGACATACACCCAAAGAGAACATATCCAACTATAGAATCGCAGTGGCTAAGGCTCTCTGCTGACTAGGACTCAGTGCTGTATTCAACATGAAATCTCTATAGAATCAGAGGCCCCAAGGTCCTCTATACAATTGAAAGCGTTGACACTGGGTAGGTACCCCTAAACAAAGCAGGGGGTTAAAACGCACCATTTTCCAGGACCCAACGTTCTTGATTCTGTAGAGGAAATTCCAAGGGGGATATTTGAAGGTATCTGAAGATATGTTACGGCCAAATTATTGCTTATGTGCGGACACTTTAGCAGACTCGAAGCAGCACTTTTATAAACAACATAGGTGTTTGTGACGTTCCCTATTCTATGAAATGGACCTGCTATGAAGTGGTCCCACTGAAATTCACATTGGGTTTATGTTATGTTCCGTTTCATACAAATCTTTTCGGGGTTGTTCAATATTCTGGTACCCGAAAACTGCCCGCACGCCACCCTTTCGCGAACCGTTCGCGCCCCAGCAGAATAGGGACAAGGAATTCTGATCATGTTATCGTGCGCATATGTGTTTATAAATAGTGGTATGCAGACCTCGTTGAATTTTAAGGTTTCTCCATCCCACTTTATTACTTGTATATTATGGTACCCATATTCCAGACCACATAAAATATGATAAAGAAACATTTATAGTATGGGTTTAATCATTTCATCCGGACATGGGTTCTTCCCTTCCATATAGAGCTTCAATCAAGGGGGATCGATAAACAGCTATTGACAAGTCAACTGCAATGACACCGCCTAAAGTGAGTCTTTGGCATCCGCACCCCTGGGTCCATGTATATATATATATAGATATATATCCATAGATAGATATAGATAGATATAGAAAGACATATCTTTGTATAGATCTGTCTCGAAGAGAGAGATATATATATGTGTGTGTGTGCGTGTGTATCTAAACCTCTCTCGAAAAATGTCTCTATATATCTACATATGCTGATCGCCATGCAGCCATGGAGCGTCCAATAAATGTGGACCCTGATGTATCTCCGGAATGAAAACAATGCTGCTTAACCCAGGCACGCGTACTGCAGGTACTGCTGATGAGAAAGCTTGTGCCCACTCCACAGCGCATCCAGCCATCTGCCCTGCACTGTGTAGTCCTTGAACGCCTCGTAGGAGCTGGTGGCAACGAAATGGGTTCCTACCTGCACAGATCGCCCGGGTGAATTCCACCCAGCACTCAAGGCATGTCAGCCGAGGAAATGATCTGGTGGTGGGTCCAGACAATTAGATTAGATGTGATGCTGGCGACGAAACAATCTACATATGCCGGTTGCTGTCAATTCCTGTCTCTGCAAACGGCCATTTATCGCGAAGCAAAAAGTTTCTTTCGCGCATCCTTCGCGAACTGCATGTGTATCTTTCGCGCAACCCATGTTGAGCAATAACTCCGCTTATGCAGATTCAATCGGCACGGGCCAAATCACACCAAATTAGCACGGAAAAGTGCTTCATAGCCTTGCAAACATTCTGCTAGCATCACGGAATCCCCTTCGCGAACAAGTTCTTGCTGCTGAGGAACTTTTTAGCAAGGCTTACTGGGCCACGCCCTTCAAAATGCCCTTTGACTTTACCTAGTCTTTTGCAGCACTTGCGTGCAACTGTCGTGCAAAGACTTGTCTCCGCAGACCCCAGCCAGGAGCACGGGGGGGCGGCAAAGGAAAAGCAAACACCAGGTGCCTTGGTGTTTGGCTCTTGCAAAGTGTCCCTGTTCGAAGCTTGGCTGCTGCATTTCGCGGTTGTTTCTTGAGACTTCAGAAAGCAACGTTAGGCAGGACCAGCGGCAGGTGCAAGGATGTGCTTGGCCACCATGGTATTTGGCTCTGGCGAAGCGTGACCTTCGGAAGCTGGCTGCTACCTATGAAGGGAAAAGCCAATGTGCGGTCCCAGTCTCCTGCCGGACCCCCGACAGCAGGGAGGCGGTGGTAGCCCTTAACAAGCGGTACTGTAGACAATGAGGATGATGCATTCTAGCCACCGTTCGCGACACTTTCGCGAAGCAAACAGTTTCTGTTTCGCAAACAAACTTTCGCGCGGGGTCCCAGCACAAATGAACTGTGTTTGCAATTGAAACTCGTTATCAGGACCTTCAGATGGATCACCACATATATATGTTTATATGCAGAGATATATTTCGATATATCGATAGTGATAAATCTTGAATCAATGCGTACAAAGAAGAAGGATTGCCTATGCAAGACCAACCACGTAGATAGCGGTCCAATGAGTTCAGTTCATCCAAATCAGGCTCGTGGGTGCCCAGACCAAGGTGGCCTACAAAATGTTTGACTGCAAACACGATCTGCTGCAAAGCTGCCAGGTCTACTGATGATCAACTAGAAGCTACGTCATGCTGCTGCCACACGATCGGATTAGTGACAAAGGTGGCCTACATGAACTGCAACTTTCAACATGAGATAGAATGTCGTTGCAAGGTAACCCAACGGAGATGCACCTTTGCAGCCCAAACGTAAAAATGTCCTTGGTCTGCCGCATCTCGCCAGCGTGCGCCCCGTGCCCGACATGGGGAAGATTGGGCTGAATGCCCTTGAAACGGAGCGCCGTGCATGATTGCCAGTCGACGGGGCGGGCGAATTCCAGGAAGCAATGAATATGTAGACGGCCAGCATCCTCCGAACGCAAACTTGATTCCATCGTGGCACTCCATTTGCCGACCCACTCACACGTTGCAAGCCAAGTAAGGAACTCATCGAAATCCGCCAGCTGCAGCTGCAAGGAATTGTAGGTTACCAACACTGCTCGTGCTCGAAGACGAAAAGGGCGGGCATCACCTGTGAAAAATGTGCAACAATGAAGTGGCTGCGACTAGGACTCATGACTATACCCCTTCTAGTTCAGTCTCTCCCATCTGCATGCAAGGCTGAGGCTTGCCTACTGTCACTGATGCATGTCATGTCCATCCACTGCTCTAGGTCTCTTACCCTCCGGAAAGCACCGTCCCGGATGCAGGGACAGAATGGCAACTACTTGCGGTCTGACCTGGTCCTGGGGCTGCTGCCATATCCACATCCTCTTGGGTCGATGCTGCTGCACCAGCTTCGTCTGCTGCTGCAACGCCCTGCAAAGCTGAGTAGAAACAGTGTGAACCAGAAGGCCGTGCAAACCCAGCGAATGGTAGCACCAACCAGGACGGCTGAGCAAGTCGCAGCAGGGTGAGAAATGTGAAAAGTGACCCGAACAATGGGTCGCAGTCTGTAGCACCCGACAAACAGGTGAGGCACCTCATAGAGGTCAATGATGTCTCGCAGCTTCTGAGTGTCACTCGGAGA